CGGCGAGACCTGTCCTGTGAACACTTGTGCAGCTGGAACAAGTGTTCACAGGACAGGTCTGTCATCTTCTTCAGACTTCAGGTGAGAACTGAAGTAGGAGTGACGGCAAAATCACTTTTTGCCACGTTTGCGCAACGCAAAAAAGTTAAGCTCAGCAGGGATCCGATCCCACGACCTGTTGCGTGGTAAACGCGGATCCATAATTCCGTTCAGAGAATCGCTTTGCAAATTTTGAAGGCAGATTCAAGATCAGCGTCCAAAACCACGTCGATCTACATCTCATCACAAATGGCCACTTCGACCTGACGACCTTCCCTAGTCAGCGCTGGCGCCGATAGGCATGTGTCCTCTGCGTTGGTTTCACTGTCTCAACGAAGAATAAAGGGGCAGGGCAAAAACTGTCATCAACGTAGCGACTATTGTGCGCGCCAAGCAGTTTTGGGCCAAGAGGATGTAATATTCGTTTTCAGAAGGTAAAAGTACCCCGAGAGACAAATTTTCAGATAAATTTGCTCCCAGAGAAAAACATGGTGAAAACTGGACTGATTTCGGAGGACTGAAGCAATGAAAGCTAAATTGTGTTGAAGATCGCGATTCGTATTCTTACCTTTTGCATTTCTTGAAACACTTTGGCCGTAGCCACTCATTTATCCAAAAATTACTACGTTCTAAGGAGAAAAATGTGCTGTCCCATGGGCAATTCATGAAAAAAACTGCTCGTCGTCAACGTGTTGATATCTTATGCTACCGTAATGCTGAGAAAAAAGATGATTCAGTTTGAGTTTTTGAGTTTCCTGAAGAACGCTGACATAAAAAGCACAGTTGTACCCAAGGACTAGATGATCATTTATCCGAGAAAACGAATAAATAGTGGGCGCGAGCCCGGTACTACCAGCATCAATCATTGTTGGTCTGTCGGATCCATGATCTTCTTCCGAGTATTCGCACGAGCTAATTCTTGCCTGAAAATGTCGGGAAGTTGATAGTTTGCAGTTCCGCGCGCGATACAGACGCCTCATCAACAATTTTGGCTTCTGCTCACTGATTGATTTGGATGTATAGGAACGTTTAGGCTGCGTTTATACTTTGCGGCAGCGGAGCGTAGCGTAGCGTAGCGCGTCCAGCGTACGCCAGCGGCAGTGCTGGGGAGAGGATGCATATCGATCTAGCGTTCCCAGCGTCACCAGCGTCACGCTAGCGTTACGCCAGGCGTTTCTCCAGCGTTTCACCAGCGTTTTGCTAGCGTTTGCAGCGGCAGGGTAGTAGAGATTATGGGAGAGCTGGAGGGTACAAAACACATCGCGTACTCTTACAGGCCACATAGCGCATCCCTGCGTGCAAACGCTAGCAAGACGTGGTCGAAACGCTGGCGTAACGCTAGCGTACGCTAGCGTGACGCTGGTGACGCTGGGAACGCTAGATCGATATGCATCCCCAGCACTGCCGCTGGCGTACGCTGGAAGCCTACGCTACGCTGCCGCAAAGTATAAACGCAGCCTTACTAGTAGTACAACGAATCTTGACATTGAAATAAATTTTTGTTGGTTAACAGTGATTTCCGCAGCGCGCTGCCATGCGAATTTTACCGAAAGGGTGCTGAGTTGTATATTGAGCATTGCACACCGGACAATGGAATAAACGAAGGGCCCGAAAAAAAAACATCATCGTAAAGTAACTTCCACACCAACAAGGGCACAACTACGTAGTGGATTATGAAGAGATCGGCGACCAAACTCCACCTAAGAACGAAACTCGGTACGATACCCTTTCCAGGACCGCGCTACCAATGCAATAGGCAACGATGGTACCGATTCGCCAACTCGAGACCAATTTAGTCCAGCCTATTCAAAACCATTCAATACAATGCAGTATAATATACGAATGGAGCGCATTGGATTAGAAGGAAGATGAATTTTTTTTGTTTTGCCAGCGCAGCACTCCACACAGACAAGTACTCAAGGACGAACTGTACACTCGCCTAGATCCCAGTCTTTGCCATGCGTAGTGCGACTCCGCAGGTGCAGTAGAGGCTCTTTACTGCGTTCCGCGGAAGAAACGGGTTGGATGGCACTGATGCCTGGATGTCGCCTTCATACTTCACCTGCACTGCCACAGGGCCAGTCACACGTCCTTATATAGCCAAACACGCTACTTGTCTGCGCTCTCTAACTTCTGATTGTTCTCTACCGCTAATTGCTGTTTCACTACGGAACGTAGGTATCGGCGCAAATGCTGCACCTTCAAGACGGACCCACTAAGGAGACAGCACTAGGGTGCCACTACCTGCAATCCTACTTCAGCGCACTATCGGCCAGGCAAAGTGGTACGCTAATGCAGCTGCGGTAGCAAAGGACCAGGATCCACGGAGCTGAGTGTTCAATTTGTCTTCAAGAGAGTTACCAGAAAAAAAGAAACGTAAATCTGGTAAAGTTTCGAAAACTTCGCACTCAAACTAGTCACAAAAAAGAGCCCCATAAGATCTACAGGAAATTCCAGAACACCGCGATTTAGACCAGCAAGGAAGTGTACTGCAAAAATTCAACTGAGATATTACAGAACTGTTCAATGGTCGCAGACATGATCTGTTATTAAGAAGCTTACCGCATCCTCCTGGAAGCAAGCCTAGATTTCGCATGTTCAGCTAACAACTTCTTGGACCGTGTCGTATCCGAAGCACTCCGTTTCACCTGGAGTTCAAAGATTAGGAGAGTATACAAAAGGAGAATGTGCTGACCTCATTCACTGAAACAGATCGCTCTGAGAATATCCTCTCCAAGTCATTATTACTATCTGGAGAAGTGGTTTTAAACACTGTGTAATCCCACTGAAATTAACAATGTCAGGATAAGGAATAACGAGCATGGAAAATGATCAGATAAAGTAAATTTGCACAAATCTAACATTTCACTGGAAAGGAAAACGTGCAGCTATGGCGCGGCCATTAAACCAGCGGATTTGCTTAGTCGACAGCAGAAAATCTAGTCTTCTTGACCTAACTTGTTTTTTTTTCGTGATTCGTCCATTGAAACTTATCATGGCTATTTCATTACTGGTCAACCTTTGCTTTCGTTTTGCGAGTCTGGAGATAAAATTAGCATAAAACCTTCAGACTTTGCGACTTTAGGGTTCTTGCTTGAAACTGCTCTCGACTAGAACCTGGACCTCAGCCACATCGCTACGAAACTGAAGCCATTCTAATATAGCAGATGAAACGAAAAGACTCGGTTGAAGCTTCCCTTCATGAAGTGTGGATTCTGCTAGTCTGCTCCGGAGTTGGCAGTATGAAAGCAAAGCCGGCACTAGGCTGTTGTTCGGAAAAACATTTCGACCGAGTTTGCCTCTTCACTTATGGTTAGCATCAACTAATATCGGTATCTCGATGTTTAGAGAGGAAGCCTTCTGGAAAAGGCTATCCACGTCAGTGCTATCGGACGATAGCTAGCTATGTATACTGTTTAGAACGGGACTCGAGAGAAGCGTGGAATTCCTAGGAGCGACTTTCGCCTCACCAATCAACAGATTGAAAACTGCTTCGGATTCTCGCAGCAAAACTGCTACACGGCCACTGGCTTCCGGTATCCATGAAAACCCGCAAGTGACATCGAGTGACTGACATGGCGCAGGGCAACATTAATCTGGAGACTTCATTTCGATATCGTTAACCCCTTGGCAGGCCATTCCTTTGCTGCATCGAATCAGTCTATCAGCCCATTCTTTTGTGGCCTTAAATCAGTGGTAGACTAAAGCAGGCACTTTTGTTCGATCAAAAGATGACCGCTGTGTTCTATAGGATCATGTAAATGGTGAATTCCCAGCGTGCTTCGTTTCATTTTCACGTCGCTGCTCGCTCGCAGAAACTTCTCCTTCGCGATTGCCTTTCACACGGAGTAACTTCACAGTGCCCCATCATATTCGTCCAACTGCTCACTAACAACGAGGGCTAATAGAGAATCTCAGCTTCTACGTACTGTCGGGCGAGCACGTTGTAATTCGCTTGATATCGTATAGATGAAGGAATTAGTTCACACAATGAGCGTTTTCCCCGTAATTTTTAATCTAGCTTTACTACTCACTAGCTCCTTATATAGTCGTAAAAATTGCTAATGGACAGATTCTGATCTATATCAACTGATCTCACTAGCAACCCACCATAATTAATACTTTAAAATAGAAACTTCATCCCACATCCACTATAGCATGAAACAACATCCGTTGTTGCTGTATGGGCTACTTTGAACGCTAGGTGCACAGTAAACAAAGCATCGCCGCTTTTTGCTACTTTTCAAGGCAAAAAAGCTTTTTGCACTGTCTTCTAGCCTCGATTAGAATTTTACTGCTTCACACGTAAGACTAACTCACATAGTCGTTTTCTAATTGAGCAAGCTTGTCGAGGGCATTGCGAACCATCTGAAAAAGTATCATTGAAGAGAAATGTACATAAAAGAAGCATTAACATGGCTATATGATAACTTGATGAACAGTTTCCCAGTAGATATCAATGACCCTAGGCAATTCGAGGTAAGAAGTAGAACAGCACAAGAGGACAAGAGCTTAAAGAATATATACAGAAAAATTTGGGAAGACCCAAGACGAGAGGCATGCCTTACAGGTAGAATTTCCCATTGTTAGCCGACTTTCCAGCAATAATTGTCATTTAAAAATATACTGATGCTGAGGAAACAACAACTGCCCCAAAAAGGTTATTCAATCAGGAAAAACATAGAAGATGCTAAAAGAACCTTATAACAAACTCTGCTCAAACGGCAAAAATGGTGCAAACTAACCCCGTCATACGGAGCTCGAGCTAATGACTTCGCAAAATATCGAGTGGCAATATTTGTTTCTCCGAGGCATGCATAAGACATTGCCATCGACGCCATGGAGTGCCAGTCAATAGGATTCATTAACAGTGCTTTACTGAAATTAAACTAGTTCAATAGTATAGTTATATGAGCGGAAAGAAGAATGGCAAAACCTTTGGGAAATAACGGGTAGATAATTAGGTCCCAATGCACTCAAGGATGAGAGTTTTCAACAGTTCCTCAGTGAATATTGATAGTGACGGGGATGTGAGGATGAGCGCATGTAACGACATAGGTACCTCCATACTAATTCTACTACTCTCTGCCAAAGCCCTAGCAAGCTATTGTTGAATGTTTAGAAAGCTTTCTATGGGAAGTGGTCAAACGAGGTCTCAGCCGTCACCAGAGCTTCAAATTCCAAGAGGGCGATTGCCTTTTAGAGGATGGAGAGTCCGATAATGTTGTGTTTGGACGTATAACGGAGCCACGTAGGAGGAAATCTCGATCATGACCTAGAGACAATGCGCTCCAAACCATAAACCTCCTCCATATCCACAAACTTTGCCGTGTTCACTACTGACATCACCACATACGACCCTACCCCCTCGCATCCCCAAACGGATAGCACCGGAGCTCGCGCGTTGAATCCCGCAATGGCTTGTCCTAATCAAGTTCAGAGCCCACAAATAAATATTACATGCAATTTTCTTTTCACAAAGCTGTTTATCTTAATAACCACAAAAGATTCAAATAGCGACAAATAAAAGATCAAGTTGCATTTTTGTTGAACTAACCTATGAAAATTGATAGATTCTTTGTACTTGCCAAGTCTTCGAGATACATGTCCCAAACTGGCTATGAGAGGTTGCCAAAACGGATCAATCTGCCTGAATTCTACTACAGATCATAAAAAAGCGTGGAAATACACTTCGTAGAAATAGCGACAACAAAACATACTCGTTGAGTATGGCACTTGAATCCAAAAACTCAGCATCTTCTGAATCAGTCCCAAGGACTGCCAACAAAGCGTTCTGGAAGAACTGCTCAGCTGCTGCAAAACAAAGATGATGGTAAAGAAGGCGACAGGCGCAACATTAAAGCGTTTATCAGCGCCTATTCACCCTAAGTGCTTTTTTCCAAGCAAGAACCAATTTTTGAACAAACGCTAATTTGCATGCGCGCATGCTAATTAAAACTTCAACTATGCACACTCCCAAAACCATGTAAAGGTACAGTTCCTTCTGAAGGGGCACCGTACAAGCACAGTGGGAAGCTATGCAAAGTTCTACGCTAAGGTGGTTCATTCGTACCATTTAGCAGCCTTTACAAGAGATTACAGGTCACACACAAAGTAAAGACCTGTTGTTAACATGAACTAGAAAAAGAAACTAGGGAATGTGCAAAGACCCACGCCGTCGCCCTATGATATTCATGATAGTGATCAATATTTCAAGAAACGATTGTGGTCAGTCAGCATTTCATAGGCAAGAAACGAGAAAGAGCGCGCTCCGCACAACTTAAAGTGAAAATAGGGTCTAGATCAATGGGGTGCTGACGCGACATACTCATTCTGTGAGAATTTTGGACAGTACAAATGTTGAAGGTGAAACAATGACTGCGAATCAAATACTTACTATGGAATTTGCCATAGCGATATAGTAGTAAGATCCACGCTCATGCATTATGACTGGATCACATGACCTGATACAAGAAGCTTCACGAAGAAACTCCTCAGCCATCCTCACCCCGACTCTGCAATATTGCATTCCTATGTACATCTTTGGTTCGTAATGCCAAAGGTAAGATTCGCGCGGCCTGTAAATGAGAACGAATAAAAACGAAGGTCATATTACAAAAGTTTGCGCGACCAAACCCGATAGTAACAATTCAGGGCTTGTTTCGTTCTCGGATTCCGCCGCTAGGATATGACCATAGGCAATCCAAGCCTACCGAAAGCTGTTCTCATCAACGCCGATTTTGTCTGAAAAGTACGTGTTAGCACTGGAATGCCTTTCTTTACCACATCACCCACTTATGAAATTCTTCGCAGCAGGGATGTTGTTACACGTAAAGTAGTACGCAGGCAACCACATACCTTAACAAACAGATCAAACCAAGATACGACATAATTGAAGAAAAGTTGTTGGAATTACTTACCAGCTATAATGGTGGTCAGGAAAAGAAAACACCAATTCATGAGCAAGCAAAAATAATTTCTTCCAGTCTTGGAAATAGCAAAGACAGTTCGCGTGCAGTATAATACAGTCCTGACATACATTTCATGATATTCTAAGAAATAATCGAATCATGTTGTTGACGAGAAAAATTCACAGGTGGCAGTCAACTCAATGAGTACAGTTTATAACCCCCTTGTTGCAGTAGAAGGTAAAGGTGCCTTCAATGCTTCATGACTCTTGCAAGCTCGCGCAATTCACGATCAGAAACAGATAATTACATCGCGGATGACGGGTATGGGGCAGTGGAGGAAAAAGCACTGCCAATTCTCTTCAGCTCTAACAACTCAGGATTCCAGCTTTTTCGCCACGGCAGAAACGATTTACGTTTTCAGCTTGCCTTATGTCGAAATCCATACCCCCGATAAAAATTTTGGTGGGAAGTCCTCCAAGAATTCCAGCATGGTGGGGGGGGGGGGCATTGAAGGACAAATATCGCCGTTTATGTGTTGGCATACACAGGGCTCGTCCAGCTGAAAACAGCTGGACAAGCCCCGTGTATATCAAAAGCAACGCAAAAGGTCTCAAAACTTTGGTGTGGTCCAAGAAACAGTCAAATTTTTAGATGAAAAATAAACGTACCATGTAAAGACCATGCTCCTTCCATTATCATAGTTGTTGTTTCCAGAGTCTCGGCAACTTTGGCCTTCTCTGTACAACTCACGAGCAAGCTCGGTTTTCTGCCGGGGATCACCAGAAATTTCGGTCTGTTTTCATCTTCTTCATCTGAAGATTCAGCGTACAATGCTACTCAATCTACGAATCATAGGGTAGCGCATGCGCAACGAATCACAGACGTGTGCCTCATTCCACTTCTATGAAAATTATGCATCCTGTGAATATAAATGTAACTTAACGTGACAAGGTCACTCGCAGGAAGCTAATTTAACAAATGTCTGCAACGAATTTCTCCTTTCATCACTTTTTTCCCAGATGTAAGGTTCAACCACTGACTTCCTTGACCTCATACGTAGTTGGGCGCTGTTTGGCGACGGGGGGGGGCTTTTTGCACTTTAACGACTTCCCATCGACGTGTCGACCCATCTAGACACCCTCTTCACGATTTGACAGGTTTTCACCAGAGTGAGATTTGTAAACCAGAACTAGTGAAGCAGAGAGTGCAAAATGCGCAAAAAGGCATAGCCTTTTCAACGCCAGTCCAATATTGCGTCAAATGTCGTCTGGTTCAATGTCCTCACGGGGTATAGCTTTCAGCTTCGATAGAGAGAGGCACTTTATCATCCAAATATACTGAAGCGAAGGGGAAGTGATAGCCACGTTTGGTCTCACTACAGGCACCCAATTTGTCCACCACAACTATCCACACACTAACACCCTTTCCCATACTATCCTTCTTCATAAAATGAAAACTCTTCAACTGTTAACTGCCACCCGTGAGTACAGGGGGGGGGGGCAAAAAAGTCACTTTGCTTCATTGACTTCCGAGGGCGCTATCCTACTATATATAATCGCTAGATATCGTAAGTTGTGTGTGTCCGTCTGTTTGTTGTGTGCGTCCGTCCTGTCTGTCACGAAATTCTAGCGAGCGTCGCAGAAAAGGTAGGATCGCACAGTTTCCGAGAAGTAATGTAACGGCAGGACGGAACAGTTTTGGTGGTGGCCAGAAGGTGATAGCATTGATAAGATTCGATAAGGTGCCTCTAGAAGGGGAGGGTGACCGAGTCCATAGTGCGGAACACAGTAACGAGTAGGAAGTTGGTTCTAAGGTATGATATAGGACGTGAGACAAGGAACATTTTGATGGGTGACAGGGAATGATAGCAGCTGATAAGATCCGTCAAGAGCTTCGGAAGGTTAGGGTGACTCGAGTCCATAGCGCGGACACAGTAACAGTGGACATTGGTTCCAAGGCATTGATATAGGACGTGAGACCAGGAACATTATTGATGGGTGACAGGGTACGATAGCAGCTGATAAGATCCGTCAAGAGGCTTCAGAAGTTAGGGTGATCGAGTCCATAGTGCGGGACACAGTAACAGTGGAACATTGTTCCAAGGCATGATATATGGACGTGAGACAGGAACATTATTGATGGTGACAGGGAACGATAGCAGGCTGATAGATCCGTCAAGAGGCTTCAGAAGGTTAGGTGTGATCGGTCCATAGTGCGGACAGTAACAGTGGGACATTGGTTCCAAGGCATGATATAGGACGTGAGACAGGAACATTATTGATGGGTGACAGCGAATGATAGGCAGACTGATAGGATTCGATAAGGGGAGCTAGAATGGTAAGGTCACCATACTCATAACGCAGAACACAGCATCAGCTAGGCATTAATCTCTGAAAATGATATTTAAGTTGGAGATGGGGACACGGCAAATGAGGTATAACAGTGATAGGGGCTGATAAGTGAACGTTTGTAAATGCTGTTCAGTCAAATTGCTGGAGCCTTTACAGCTACCAACTTTATAGGAGTGTTCAGTGATAGGGACATTGATTGACGGATGATAGGATCTTATCAATCGATAAGAAACGATGAAGGAGTCATTATTATCAATCTCTCTTATACCATTACGCCCAAGAAGTATCAAAGGCTCAGTGTGCATACTTTTGCTTAGCCATCCCTTCCCTCATAGCCTTAGAAATGAATTCATTCTACTATATAATGTCGATGTCGAACGAGCGGGGGGGGGGGGGGGGGGGTATGTAGTTCGCTCTGAAACAAAGAATCTCCCGGGAATTCGAGGGGTCGAGGAGAACGCAAAAACACTTCAAGCGAGCGGATCGCATGCTAAATGAAAGGAAAGCGTTCGTCGGTAGCATTCCGGTGCAGGGTAATGGAACGAAATCTGCTGTTTCACTGAGCGATTCATATTGCGCTGTATGGCTGACCTACGACAGACTACACATTGTATCTATCTACAGATTTATGTATTCTATGAGCGTCATGGCGCGGACTACACCGCCGCTGTCAAGTCGAAGAGCGTGCTGAGTTGTGCCGGGATCGTAAGCCTTGCTCTGTCTGTCACGATTCGATACTACAGCGCCTTATGACAGCCCACTACCGCAAAAATTCCGTTAAATTATGGAGGTGCCTGGCGAAGCCAGGCCAGCTCAAGAGAAGGAGGAGAGCACGGCGTGTGTGTGCGATCGACTGGTAACATTCTATAAAGGGAACAAGGAAACTTTGTGTGTCGGTTTGTCGGTATTATTATGTAAGTAAGTATGTTTTGTATGTCTGTTGCGTCCGCAAAATTCTTCAGGGATTAAACACGTTGGAAAGACGAAAACGACGCTAGCCAACAACGCGGGAACCGATCGAGTGCAGTATTTATCAATCCAATGTTTTGATTGTGATAACAGCATATATAAGACAACCACTCGGTACACTCCGAGCCATTGCTGCCGTGGCACTGGACGTGTGCTCGTGCGGCGGCAGGGCGGGGTGCCCAGGTCGCCCCTGCCCCCTTCTCCTGCATGTGGCCCAGCCAGAGCTGTCTTATCAGCTGCTGTCAATTCCTGCCACCCACCAATAATGTTCCCAGCCCATGAGCTGAGCACATGCATTGGAGGGAGGCAGAGGAAGGGGTCGCGCGGGAGGGGGGGGGGTACAATGAGGGGCGCGTAGCGCACGTTTCAGTTAGAAACCGCACACTAATGGATGAAGGACAACAACCGCTAACAAACTGCAAGCCAATCTATGTTACCGTAACGAACTAAGTTTGTTTTGGTTGTGATAACACTCTCCACTATATAAGAAAACCACTACACTCCAAGACATTGCACGGGTTCTCGGCGTGGCAGTTGAGTGGCGACGTACGGAATGATTGTGGTGAGGGGGTTACCAGATGAGAACGGCGATTTTGCGATTAGGAGCACATAGCGCCTGCGGCGGTAAGGCGTCTAATGGTTGCGATACATAGATGGGAAGAAATGGATCGACCGCATCGGAACTGAACGCGATTAATGTTGCATTATCAAATTGTGGTAGCGTTTTGATAGTCACAACACCTCCACAACATAACACAAAATTTAGTGCACTCAGACCATTGCACGGGCTATTCGCGTAAGCGCGTGCAAGGGGCAAGGTGGTGGGTGGGGGTGGGGTGGGTGCGAGTAGAGATGGCGTGAGGTGAGGGAAGGTGGAGTTAGTAATCGAGTGACTCCCTTCTCCCATCCTCACTCCCCTTGCGCGTACTCAGTCGGATCTGAGCCATGCAGGGGAAGGAGGCATATGGATTGAATCGGGCAAACTGGTAGCAGTAAGGGGATGCGTAGCGTACGCTTGACAGGAGCAGGCGGCAAAACAGAAGGAAAAGAACCCCTAGCAGAACTGCAGCGTAGTCCATGCTACAGCAACGAACCTTCCCCTTTCTAAGCCTAACCACTGTGATAGACTCTGTGCTTATAGCAGGAGCTGCTCGCTTGGGAGCTGGACGTGAGCACGAGCAAGCGATGGTAAGAGCAGTGGCGGCGTAGTGTCTTTATGTTGCACCACTGCTCACGTGGCGGCTGCATACCACGTGCGGGGGTGGGGGCGCCTTGTTTTAAGTTAGGGTCGGTGGGATATGATGTGGTGAGGGGGTTACCAGATGAGAAGCGGCGATTTTGCGATTAGGAGCACATAGCGCCTGCGGCGGTAAGGCGTCTATGGTTGCGATAAGATGGAAGAAATGGATCGACCGCAATCGGAACTGAACCGATTAATGTTGCATTATCAAATTGTGGTAGCGTTTTGATAGTCATAAACCTCTCCACAACATACACAAAAATTTTGTGCACTCAGAACCCATTGCACGGGCTATTCGCGTAGCAGCTGAGCCGTGACTGTAGGGTGGCTGAGCGGGGAATAGTTAGTTTGGGGTGAAGGGGTACCATAATTGGCGCGATCGACGCTCGCCTGAACAGGGAGCACGCAGCGACTGCGGAGATCGAAGCATCCATGGCTGTCATAAGATGGGAGGAGCGTAAGCGATTATAAATAACCAGATTTTGAACTTTTCATTATGAAAGTGCCCTGCGATCATATGGCGCGTTTCTACATTCATTTGATTAGAAGACAGCGGTTAGTCAGACTCTAAAGCAGTTGCCATGAGCCCGGCGAAGCCGGCTTCCCAAGAAGGAGGAGGCTCGGCGTTAGCCGGGCGATCCGACTGGTAAGTTACACTTTATAAATTCTGATCGACATTTCACCACCATATTAAAGAGCATATTAAATACTATTATGACACTCCGCGAGGAGCGATAATGAAGAGATTCTGGCACGCAATACCGCGATGTGGTTCAGCGAGATAGTAGATCTCTCCGACCGTAGACCACCCTATTGAACTCCGCCGACGCGGGTATTCAGGGATTCAGTTCAGGTGACTACTTGGATATTCATCTTCTGAGGTACTCAGCCCGCTTCCATTCAGGTAGGCGAGAGTTTCTCCAACGCCCTTCGATTCTACGTGGTTACATCCAATGTTGTAGCAGTACGAAGTTCAAGAAGGTACGGCGATCTTGAGTTGGTCGATGTAACCGCCAGGCTCAGCTTCAGCCGGGGTCCACGAAGAAAAATATTGGTCTTTCCATTCCAGGTGCGTCGGCGGTCCATACCATCAACTCGCGCCTTGGCGACTGCCGTGAAAGATGATGTCCTAGCGCCCGTAGACCGTAGCGACGTTGTCGGAGCTGCTCAATGTTGGAGGTCTTCCAGATTGAGAGTACTGGTCTCCAGGTAGCCACCCATGGGTGACTCCACACTAGAAGTTTCGCAGCTGTTTGGAGGTGACATGAATTCCAAAGGTCTTCTCCAGTCAGGCTGCGACTGGAGATGACCTCATATTTTGGAATATTGGTTTATTTTTCTAGTTTGTCTAGTTAGAAATTCTGGTGCTATAAATACTGCATTAACAAATCGAGTAGGTGATTTTTTATGTTTACTTTTGACCTCATATTTTGGTGTACAAGAAAGCGATTGGCGAGGGCCAGCTCCTGCTTATCGAGGAACATCTTGGGTATCCTCCGCCCTGGTACTTGTATCCCTATATCTCTTCTCTCTGGGCTGCGAAAACTTTGCTGATATGTGACTCGGTCGAAGTGACTTTTTTTGCCCCCCCCCCCTGTATATAGCACAAACTTTGAGCTCTTTTCTTCACTCTGGTCATTTTCTTCCATCATTAAGTAGCGGGAAAGCTCACCAAACGGAAACAGGGATCCTTGCTGGTGGAAGGGACTAGTTTATAGTTCCTCAACAACTGTTCCGCTGCTAAAGAATGACGATCCTAGAAATAAGACGAATTGAACAAGGTAAAAAAATTCACTTTCTGGACAGGAAGTAGCCAAACCTGTAAAAAAGCCGCTACCAAGCAACGGGATGCAAAATCTCTATTCTCCAGTAGTATATATGTTCGACCATAGACCACCATTAATGCAGAAAACAACTAAAAACTCTTAATGAATCACAAAACAAAGGATGTGAACACATCAACACATTGCGTAAATAGGATTCAGCTCCAGAGAAAAATCAGCGCAAGCCCAGTGTTGACTGGACCCCTTTACCTCAGTATGAGTACCAGTTGCGGGCTAGGGTTTTTTTCTGAAATCACCTTTTTGCATGTTTCCAGCAAAAAAAAACTCAGAGACGTGAGATATTACCTTCAGAGAAGTCATCATCTTATTCAACGCTGCAAGATCGCTTTCCGAGATTTCTGCGCTGAAGGAATCCAGATAATCTTCCAGTCCACAGTGGTAATCAGGATATCTCACAGGAAGTCCATCGGTCAACATCTGAAATAATAACATGAACAAATCAGGATATGGCATGCTCGAATCCCGTTGCCTTCAGAAGTACTTCATATTTTGCGACAGCGTTCTGAGCATGGGGCAGCGTGCGCTCAAAAGCTGCCGTAAGATTTAAACGCTAACACAAAGTATGAACGCAGTGTGTCAATACTGCTGGAAGAAAACTGCGGACTCGACGGATGAGACCAGCAAGCAAATGGTGCTACCTTTGTGACCCTCTGCTCTTCGCTCAACAGCTTCCTGAGTGACAAGGGCTCAAAGAGTTACCCAGACAAAAGCGGTAGGTGGAAGTAGCCACTTGAAATCATAGTAATGTTATTTACCCCAAGGCAGATGATCCCTATAGGTGGCGGAGCTGACTCTTTTGTCAATCTGTTTTATTATTCCAGCAAATTTCTGACTGGAGAACTTTACCTATTCCTGGTTAATTTCTGTTTTTTTTTCTCAGTTTAGATAAGATCGTAGATCGTCGTTAGTATAAGATGAGTTCTGTGGAAGCGCACCTGAGCGTGCATACTAAATAAAAATAAATAGATGCATATTGACAGATGTGCTCTTGAAGGTGATTAGGAACCCGTCACCTATATCTGCGGCCGACTTCCGTAAATGAGGGCACAGCGGTCGTCCAGGGAGAGCGCCTTCACACTCAGCACAACTTTTGGGGTAAAAGTATTTTTATGTGGAACAAGCTACACCAGTTTACAACAGAATTGCATACAGAGGGCACACCATTGATGACCTACGCTGTCACAATCGAAGCAGGCTTATGATCGAAGTTTGTTTCAAGTGTGTACATGCCTTCTCTACTAAAAATGGATCAGCAGTAGATATATACACTGCTTATTTCTGAAGCGGGGTAGCCATGGCATTTGAACATGGTACAGGATGGCTACTTGTGGGATTCCAGTTCGAGATAACTGTCACCTTGTTCTATATTGGACCAAGGCATGACTACAACTGTTCCAAAACGAAAATATTATACGAAAACCTTGGCTGCAGTCAGGTTCGGTCCAAGTACGCAGTCACGCCTACCGCATCTCAGGGATCTTGAGTGTATTCTCTTTCGCTACGGATGAAGGATTGTATCAGGCAGTATGAGTGTGCCACGGCATCTAACCCGTTCTCCACCTGTTCTTAACCGGTTGTTGATGCTGGTATTCGACAACAATTGGTAGAAAACGAGTGATACGAACGATATGATACGCTCTTATCACTTGCTCTCATCAACAGATGGTGAAGGACGGATGTGGCCGCGCGTCAAACTCATCCCGCCTGACCAACCCCCTCTTCCGCAGCGAACTAGTGTAAGAAAAACGGATTGTCTTACAAAGACACACTAATCGGTGCAAAATCCACTACAAACGGCTTTTTCTACCTGGAATTCTTCTCCGGCAAGGACACCTTGCGGCTGTCACTATAAGCCAACCCTGAAGGCACACTTCGCCTACATTTGATGCTTGTGGTAGCCCTATCCGCAAGTATGGGAATGCTACTACTTTCGCCCAAAAATAGAAAGAGTGACTCGACGAGGCCGCCACCCCGCCCACTGGCTACCCAACTTTTCGGAAGATTTCCTGGGGGGCGGTTGTCCCGCTGCTGGCTTTCTTCATTCGATATGATGGTCAGTTGATAAGGAGAGAGGTAACGCTAACAAAAAGGAACTCGTCCGACCACGTCCTTTCCCCACCTTATGCACCTATAAGGCAGGTCAGCCAAGTTTTTCTAGAATGGGCACTCCAAGGGGTTTTTTTACTAGTTTTTTTCGTTACCACCTCCCATTTTGCCATTATTATTTGAACTACACAGATCACCTTTAAAAGTTATCGGGAGTTCAGGGGGTCTCTGCGGTAAGTTCTAGGTGGAGCGTGCCTTCAAGTGACTCAGAGTAAACACGACATATCAAAGGATTTTGGAAATACAAAGGAAGTATCGCAAAAAATTGTCCACATAGATTGTCACTTACCAATTTCCTATAGGGAGCTGAACTATAACCGAGTACATTCGAAGATGGAAAAGAGCGTTCACATAGTAATAGGCGAACACAGTGTTTTTTAGCGAGGTGACGATTTCAGTATCAATTGCGATACCGCTTGTACTGATGCACAATAGTGAGACTAGAATATTTTTTTGTCTAACAACAGTACTATACTGATTATCATGGAATATTTGCCTCTGAAACCCTGTAATTCACCGCAAACTCAATACCTTGATATAATTGCGAAATCAATCAAATTGTTGGAGGAATCGCATTTCTTGCGTAAGACCTATGCTATCCAATATGTTGCAGTTTCGCAGTCGCCCTGAGATAAATACCTCCTGAACAAGCCTTCTTGAACTGCACAGATTATTGGAAGGTAGCCAAAAACATAGCACAGATGGGAACGTACGAAATCAGAAGGTCGTGATCATCTTTATCCACAAGCTTATAGCATTCGAAGTCCTCTTGTTGGCTAGAAAAACAAAATTATCAAAAATTTTAGCCCTAAGCGACAGAAACCACAAAAAACCAAGAACGTACTCGGATGAATCCAATCGGGAGAACGAGTCCAGGTCGCAGTCACGCAACAACATTCTCGATGTGGAGGTCTTCAGTCCTGACCTCCTTGGCTGACGTCGCTCATTCACGAACAATATCCTAGTTCCTTACTCTTCAGATTAGTGGTAGCACAGACTGGGAAAGAGTGGATGAAACTCAACATCTCGAAAGAGAGGATGCACAAAACTTCTCTAAGACGGCGTTCAGACTTCGCGGTCGCACGATCGGATCGCTTAATTTTTTTTCGAGCGAACATGTTTAAAAGCGCTGCACCGCCTAGTGGTAGGCCAAAGCGACGGCAGAGTTCAAATAGGGTCGCATTTCACACTGTGTCAATTTGAACTGCGATGTTCCGGTGGTGCGTCGTTTGACAGTAGCCCTCGGTCGCGATCGTGAAGTCTGAACTCGGTCTAAAACTTAAACTTGCGAACACAGCGTCAGATGGACATTACAGACCCAATTGGAAGCGTTTGTCGCAGAAGCACCTTGCAGGGGTCTTTCAACACGGTGATTACGAATAGAACACACTTTTTTGGTACCAATTATATCATAATCATAATTAGGGCCATCACACACAACACCTAAGTTCCTAACGAGTATGGATGCCTACCCCAAACTGAGGGCGGCACTATTTGACGCCATTTCAAGGCCCTCGACAAAAATTGACACCACTGATGATCAAATTCCTCAAGTTTTCCCAAATTTGGATTCAGAGCAATACTGATGTGAAAGTGAGAAAACGACGAAAATGTCAGGGGCATCATGGAATGAAATTGCGGTGAACAGGATTCCCAAACATTCCCACCGGTAACCTTGCCTCCAAGGCACTGCTTCCAGAAGTTAGTGTACTCGCAATACAGAATAACCTCTTTTTCGACGTTCCAGTGAAAAAATTTCCATCCGAGGGTTTTTATAATTGCACACTCCCAAGATTGTACCACATTGCTCAGTGAAAAATTCCTGTCAATATCAAAAATCGGAAAAAAATAAAAACCAGACGCGGGAAATAAATTTGTTTATCCTAAACCCGCACTTGTATAGCTGAAACCGATTCAAAAACAAGATTCGCCGTCGATTGTGAGGTGTGGTGTGCACATCACGCACGCCATGTTGTATCCGCCGTCTCGGAAACATCGTCCAGGAAAGGTCGCGTTCATAGCTCGCGTTCGTGAAGAAATGCAGAAGTGCGGGAACTGCAGACGTGCGGAAAGCCTTATATCGTCTACTCAACGCAGGCTTTGCGAACGTCCCGGATTGGGTGTTCTCAAAGCTGTCGATGGTAGTATCGTTCGAAAGGGCTGCGAGAAATCTGAGTTAATAGCTGATACCTTTGCAAAGCTTTCAATCCGCCTAGCGCCCTCAACATCCCCTCTCGCTCTGCATCCTTTCCGATCATGACTGATTCTACTCGCTTCAGTGAGGACGAGACCTACCAACTTCTCATTAAGTGGCCTCCTTCCACCTCTGATACTCCTGACCGCCGTGCCCTTGTCCTTCATCAAGCCAATCGCTCACATTATTGCTGGTCCTCTTGAGCTTCAGTTTAATCTCAGTTTTATTAGCGCTGTCGTACCCAAGAAATGGAAATTGTCCTTCGTTACACCGCTTCTGAAAAACATGAGCCATTCCTCATGCCCGGATAAACTATCGCCCAGCCAGTATCACTTCTATTTTTGCCAAGGCTTCTCGAGAAAATTTTGAAGAAGTCAATGGAAATGCATTTTGAGCAACACGACATTACCTCACAGAACCAGCATGGCTTCCGAAAAGGTAAATCCACAGAATGGCCATTTAACATCATTCAATGATTGGACCTTCAACTTAGATAAGGTACTTTCGACTGATGTCATTGACCTTGATTTTGTAAAGCGTTTGATAAGGTACAACATGCCTCGCTTCTCATGAAGCTTTCGAGTGCCGGCATTCACCCCCATATAGTTTCTGGATCAAAGAATCCTCACGGACCGGCGGCAGTTTGTAGCACGATTAGGCTTCACCTTCTCCTCTCCCAGGCATGTTACTAGTGGTGTTCCTCAGGGCGGAGTTCTTTCGCCCATTCTGTTCAACATTTACCACCACAGATTTGCTTGCGATAATGAGCTCTGCCGGCGTTAACCGTTGCGGCTTTGCTGATGATTTCAAAATTTATAACAGTGTGACCTCCTTGGAGGATATATAATCCATTCAATCTGCGGTCGACTTGCTTTAAGTTGGGCTGCTGAGTGAAGCCTCTCACTATCCAAAGAGAAAACGAATATTCTTCATATTGGTCACAGAAACACTACGTATTCGTGCTATATCGATGGACTACTAATTGCATCGGTTCCCAGGTCAAGGATCTGGCTTTGTTATAACTACCAATCTGTCCTTTGATAGTCACTGTGAGCTTATAGTCAATCATGGTTTTATTGCTACTTACCGATTGTTCAAAGCCCTTGCAACTACTGACTGCTTTACTCTCCTTTTCGCGTATAAAACCTATGTCAGGCCTCTGCTCGAATAGGGTACAGTGGTGTTTAGTCTGCGGAAGTATATTGACTTGATTGAGAAAGTGCAAAACACCTCCACAAGAAAACTTATGATCAGAGTAGGGTCTTTAGTTACAGGGACATCCAACCATGTCGAAAGAAACACCAACCTCGGCCTCGATCAACTTTGTTGGAGGAGAAGAAGCTTGACTTGGTAATGTTCCGCAAAATAATCCACGGCCTTACTGGTCTTACTCCTAGATCGTTCTACACTGTGAGATCCTCAATTACCAGGGGTGGTGCAAGCAAATTACCCTAAAAAATCCAATAGATAAGAGCGGTCCATAGATAAGAGCGGTTTGTGCTAGAAATTGAAATTGACGTTTGTATACGTTTTTTTTGGCGTTGTGTGGCTCAATGATTATCGTAATAATAGCCTACAACTCTACCTTTATTCTTATTGTTTTCTTATAACTCTTTCTATCCTGTTCACCTGCTGAAACGTCGTAACTCGTAATACAGGCAGCTTTCAAGCTAGACGCCGTCAATTATCATGATTTGCATGGAACCTTGGCAGCGGCTCGTCATTTTGAAGTCACTGAAGCAATGATAAGAAAGTGGGTTGTTGATCGACAAATCTTCAAGAGATGAAAGCAACGAAGAGAGCCCGACGATACAAAAAACCAAGCTAAAATTGAACCGCTTCTATCTATGGGGTTTTAGGGAGTTAGGCCAGCAGCTAGATTCACTTTTTTGCTGTGCGTGCAAGCGTATTATACTCAACACTAAGCAAAAAGATATCTATTCCCGCAGCAGTCCACACCTTTAGCAAGCTTATCGATTGCTACCTGGATAAATTGATGATGATGGCTTCCCTTACACTTTCTCTTTAAACGGCTTTTCCCTGTTTTATTTTGATAATATTTACACAGTTTAGAACTTTTTGGCTAGTATTAATGTTTTTTCCCGTGCGGGACTTTCTCGGATGTTCTGTTTAATTGTTGTAGGCTGATGTGTAGCCACATGAGTTCTCCATGTAAAAAATGATGATGATGATGATGTATGATGATGATGACGGTCGGGGGTGGACCGTCACATCGTGAGTGCTCATTGCCACTGTCCTGTCGTCTCGTCTGCCAGTTGCCTTGCGCCAGCTTCCTGCGATAACGTAATCTCGGGCCAGCCATCCAGGTCGTGCACGCCGACAAGCGTCTGTTGCATTGAAAGTATGAATCGTTCGTAGTATAGCGCAGCCTGTTTCTCCGTTGAGCCTGAGTTCTTCAGCTTATCAGAGCGTCCCACCGGCGATAGAGAAGTGGTTTCTGCAGGCTCAGGAATGACGCCCGTACCTGTTACTCGTTTTTGAGCATATGAGGTAATAAAGGGTAGGCGCAAGGTGCTAACGTGGTTCTTTTCAATTACCTGTTGAGACCGTTTAACACCACTCCTTGAAACCTGGACTAGTTATCTCTCATTTTGAGGGACATCGTTGTTTCATGGTGCTTTGTTAAGAAACTTCCTATATCGTTGCACACAGTGCTACTGTACTCTCAAAATCCCTAAGATGTGGTGGGCGTGGCTGCGTACTTCAACAAACTTGGTGTTAGACTGATGTTGTTTTGAGGGACAGCCGTTGTTTCAAGGTGCTGTTTTCAGAGATGTTTCCATTTTACGATGCTGGTGGTCGTGTCTCTGTTCAGCATCGAACAAGATGACAGTTGTCTCAAACTGAAATATCCCACGAGTAACCTATTCTATGCATTGTCGACTGCCACGCCCACTCCGTCACAGGGATAAGGAGTGTCCTATGAACTAGATGCCATTCGCCAACCGCATCGAAGCATATCCGGTTTTATTTAGTCCCACAGCTATGGAGCTGGCACTATCCAGAGCTGACCCCTATACCAGAGGGCTGACCAGCACTCTTTACGAAACCCAGAGGTTAGTTCTTTCACCTACACCAGATTCTTTTCCAGTGAGCGAAACACGCGGCACGAACTTTTGCCAACATATAAAAAATGAGGAAGAATCGTTGAAAAAGCCCATCTCACGGCTCAAGGCATAATTTGCTTCTCGTTGAAGTTCCACGAGAGGTAAACGCGACGTTGCCCATAATTTATTTATCTATTTGTGGACGCGGTATATCTGGCGTTTCATGATATGACAATGACAATCGACAAGTACAAATACAAGTATAATTGAAGCCAGACAATTCCGTAAATGTAAGAATTTAGGATACCTCTGATGTACATAACTACCCTGGTGGCCTTTATGCGAAAAGCTCCAGGTGAAAATTGGAAGAAATCTTCACACAAAAATTTTGTTAAGTGAGTGTAGGACTCTTGATCAGTGAAGAATTTAGACCTGACTTGGGTTCTTCATACAGGAGGCCTGATCTTGATAGTGCTCCCTCTGAGTCGCTAGAGGAGAATAAAGTAAAGAAAAATACGATTCGTGGCTCTACTGCTGTTAGAATCTTTAAAGGCAATCATGAGATCATTGATGCGATCTCCTATCAAGGAGACTAGGTAGGCGTAAAGACGCCGTCTTTCTACTAGAGAATCATAGCTTATTCCGAAACATCGCTGAGCAAGTTCCACGAGTAAAGCTGTTCTGCACACTTTCCAAGAGATTAATATCCTGACATGTATCATAACGTATTTCTTGAACATTGGACAAGCCCTTTAGTTTTTCCTGGCAGGGCACGCCATTGCGTTATGATCATTTTCTGAAATTACGATCCCCCCCCTTCTTCCTCCTCGAACCAGCCCGTCCGAGCTGGGGGGGGGAGGGGGAGGAGGTCGTCAGAAATTAAATTATCATTTTCAAGTGTCGGGATAGTAGTGCGTCCATGAACTAACCAAATACAACCCCCCCCACCTCCCCAAACATGACCAAGTACGACGCCCTCCCCCTTAGAGCGTAAGGAAATAAGAAAAATAAAAAAATTTTCTCTAGTCAAATACGACCACCCTCTCCCTCGCGGTCAAATACGACCCCCCCCTCTTGTGATTGATCACAACGATGGCGCACCTTGTTTGGCGCGTTCATAGGCTGGCGTTCGTGAAGAAATGCAGAATGCGGAAAATGCCAGAAGTGCGGAAAGTGCAGAAGTGAGGAATCTGCCAGAAAAGCAATAGATGCGTATCGACTTGAAGAAATGCAGAAATGGCGAAACTGCAGACGTGCGGAATCTGCAGAAATGCCGAAAGTGAAGAAGTGCGGAATCTGCAGATATGCCGAAAGTGCGGAATGTGAAAAACAAACCGATACGTATCGATTTTCGACACTTTCGGCATTTCTGCATTTCTTCAAATCGATACGTATGCTAATAGTTTTCGTCCAAAAAATTTTTTTCCTTTTTGCAGTGGCGACGAGATCCTATTTCACGGCCCATTTTGCCATAGTTTACCATACGTCGAAATTAATGCAATAGTTCTTTATCAGATTACAGGTTCATGACTCTTGTATCTGAAGGTATGTAGCGGTTTTGAATACTAAAGAGTTTCAGGCTATTCATATTTATTATATTAACATCAAAGAGAAAAGGGGAAGGGAACTGGATGGGAGTGGAGTCATTCGATATTGTGTGTAGCCCTGGCGGTCGTGTCCAGCTTTGCTCTCTACCAATTGCTAAATCTACCCTAATCTACGTCATATTCGCTGCTGTACCTGAGTTCATCTGAGCACTAGGGTGGCACGGTGCGTCAGAAGGATTTGCCACCGCATCAGGTCGTTTTTATCTGACACTTTTCATTTTTTTTATTCAATTGTTGCGACTTTCACGTTATTCATCGATCCGTTCGGGATTGGTCTTGTACTAGCTCGTTTCCTTGTGGCTGGGGAACAATCGTGGTTCATTTGATTTTTAAATAGCCACTTGCCTAGGTCCATTGTCTTCAGCAACCGTCCACTGACAGTCCACTGTCTTCATTATGAATACAACACCCGTTGACCTAAGTTCAATTCAGAATACGCCAAGGCCCCACGAAACGTCAATGCATTGATTCGACTAGGTCACCCGGCTCCCCCGCTGATCTGGATCAACAAGTGGAAAACCTTCTTGCGGATCAATCAACAACACCCCAACTGAAGACTATTTTAACATGGTTACCCGAGAACCGAAAACAAATGCGATCTAATTCACTGTTGTGTAAGGAGTTATCTGAGCAGTTGGATAAGCTTGAGCAGGAGAATGCTGATTTGAGAGAGCGCTTATCAAATTCTCAGTCATCTACTTCTGTTACCTGCTCTGATTGTAACCCCGCTTCTCAGCCTTCTTCCATACCTACTCCTAAGCCTTTGTCTTACGAGGTAGTTGAACGTACTCGTTCTATTGTAATTTCGGGGCTCATTGAAAGCAAGACCCTATTGCTTCGTCTCGTGTTTTATATGATTATCAATCGGTTAGAGAAACTATGGACTACCTGTCTATCGATTGCCCTACTGTAGCTGTTTACAGATTGGAAGGGCGCCCAAGACTAGTGAAAGTTATTCTTCCAAGCTCTTTTTTTGTGTAACTGATGTTGCGGCGGGCCTATCGCTTGGAGACTTCAAAATTCCGGGTATTTTCGTCAAGCCTTCCCTCCCTAGGTCGGAGAGGAAAAGGCTGCGCGCTGAATGAGGCCCGCCGCAACGGTCAGAACGGTTCGAATTCTTCTCCCGTCGTTGGATTAATACCTAGTGTTACCTCCTCTCACATCAGTGAGACTACTGTCCCTTCAAACTGAGTGGCCATCCTCGGAATATCAGTAGGAACCGGGTGCAAAATAGATTGAAATTTCTGTTAACTAATACATATAAGATCTGTTCTTGAGAACAGAGATTACAGAGACACAGAGAACAGAGAACAGAGGCTAGATATAATTGCGCTTGTCGAAACATGGCTTAACCACAACATTAACTTATCAACACTCCTGGGGAACTGGCTTCACAGTATGACATGCTCCGGTGTGATCGCTTGAATAGAAAAGGTGGAGGGGTTGCCTTCTTTTTAGGCAATTATCTCTGTTTCAATTCAGTTTACAGTGAGGCTGTTCCCGATTCCTATGAACCGCTTTGCTGTGACTTTCACACAGGTGCTAAACATGTTCGTCTTACAGTGATTTATAGAGCGCCCTCCTGTCCAGTCGTACGCACTCACCAGATGCTTGAAGCTATCAGCGATATAATATCATTTCCCTACACCTACGTTATTTGCGGCCATTTCGATATGCCCGACATCTTGTGGACCTCTGTTTCTGAGCCTGTTGCGATTGTATCCACGTCCAAGGCATTCTTGGACGTTTGTTCTTCTCATGGGTTATCACAGCACGTCAGTACATATACACATGGCTCTAGAATACTTGATCTTGTTTTATCCAGTGATGATAATTTAATGAATAACCAGGTGGGTCCTCCTATAGGTAACAGTGATCACTAAGCAATCTGTTTCTCTCTCAATCTTTCCTGCGCTAGAGATCTTTTCGTTTATAAGAGTGTATATAAAAATGCTAATTTTGGAGATATTTGTGCTTTTCTTCAGACGATCAGTTGGGTCGGGTCCCTTAATAGCGCTACTAAGGTTGATGATAAGTATGAGCTCTTTATCTTTATTCTGCGTCATACTATTGAGTCATTCGTTTTCCTAGCCAGGGTCTCACCACAAAGGAAGCATCTTCCTCGGCATCTCCGCTCCCTCATATCAGAAAATCAGTTGCTTGGAGGCGGGCCTCCACTATTGGATTGTATGAGGACTGGGAATCCTGTCGTTCCATTGCTGCCACCTTCGACAAGCAATTACGCACGTACAATATATTTATCGAAAAGAGGGTGATTGGGTCTAGTGATAAACGGGCCTTATATCGTCTACTCAACGCAGGCTTTGCGAACGTCCCGGATTGGGTGTTCTCAAAGCTGTCGATGGTAGTATCGTTCGAAAGGGCTGCGAGAAATCTGAGTTAATAGCTGATACCTTTGCAAAAGCTTTCAATCCGCCTAGCGCCCTCAACATCCCCTCTCGCTCTGCATCCTTTCCGATCATGACTGATTCTACTCGCTTCAGTGAGGACGAGACCTACCAACTTCTCATTAAGTGGCCCTCCTCTACCTCTGATACTCCTGACCACGTGCCCTTGTCCTTCATCAAGCCCATCGCTCACATTATTGCTGGTCCTCTTGAGCTTCAGTTTAATCTCAGTTTTATTAGCGCTGTCGTACCCAAGAAATGGAAATTGTCCTTCGTTACACCGCTTCTGAAAAAACAGCCATCCTCATGCCCGGATAACTATCGCCCAGCCAGTATCACTTCTATTTTTGCAAGGCTTCTCGAGAAAATTTTGAAGAAGTCAATGGAAATGCATTTTGAGCAACACGACATTACCTCACAGAACCAGCATGGCTTCCGAAAAGGTAAATCCACAGATGGCCATTTCACAATCATTCAATGATTGGACCTTCAACTTAGATAAGGTACTTTCGACTGATGTCATTGACCTTGACTTTTGTAAAGCGTTTGATAAGGTACAACATGCCTCGCTTCTCATGAAGCTTTCGAGTGCCGGCATTCACCCCCATATAGTTTCCTGGATCAAAGAATTCCTCACGGACCGGCAGTTTGTAGCACGATTAGGCTTCACCTTCTCCTCTCCCAGGCATGTTACTAGTGGTGTTCCTCAGGGCGGAGTTCTTTCGCCCATTCTGTTCAACATTTACACCCACGATTTGCTTGCGATAATGAGCTCTGCCGGCGTTAACCGTTGCGGTTTTGCTGATGATTTCAAAATTTATAACAGTGTGACCTCCTTGGAGGATATATAATCAATTCAATCTGCGGTCGACCTTGCTTTAAGTTGGGCTGCTGAGTGAAGCCTCTCACTATCCAAAGAGAAAACGAATATTCTTCATATTGGTCACAGAAACACTACGTATTCGTGCTATATCGATGGACTACTAATTGCATCGGTTCCTCAGGTCAAGGATCTGGCTTTGTTATAACTACCAATCTGTCCTTTGATAGTCACTGTGAGCTTATAGTCAATCATGGTTTGATTGCTACTTACCGATTGTTCAAAGCCCTTGCAACTACTGACTGCTTTACTCTCCTTTTCGCGTATAAAACCTATGTCAGGCCTCTGCTCGAATAGGGTACAGTGGTGTTTAGTCTGCGGAAGTATATTGACTTGATTGAGAAAGTGCAAAACACCTTCACAAGAAAACTTATGATCAGAGTAGGGTCTTTAGTTACAGGGACATCCCAACCATGTCGAAAGAAACACCAACCTCGGCCTCCGATCACTTTGTTGGAGGAGAAAGAAGCTTGACTTGGTAATGTTCCGCAAAATAATCCACGGCCTTACTGGTCTTACTCCTAGATCGTTCTACACTGTGAGATCCTCAATTACCAGGGGTGGTGCAATCAAATTAGTTAGGCCAGCAGCTAGATTCACTTTTTTGCTGTGCGTGCAAGCGTATTATACTCAACACTAAGCAAAAAGATACCTATTCCCACCAGCAGTCACACCTTTAGCAAGCTTATCGATTACTACCTGGATAAATGATGATGATGGCTTCCCTTACACTTTCTCTTTAAACGGCTTTTCCCTGTTTTATTTTGATAATATTTACACAGTTTAGAAACTTTTTTGTGGTATTAATGTTTTTCCCCGTGCGGGACTTTCTCGGATGTTCTGTTTAATTGTTGTAGGCTGATGTGTAGCCACATGAGTTCGCTCATGTAAAAAATGATGATGATGATGATGATGATGATGACGGTCGGGGGTGGACCGTCACATCGTGAGTGCTCATTGCCACTGTCCTGTCGTCTCGTCTGCCAGTTGCCTTGCGCCAGCTTCCTGCGATAACGTAATCTCGGGCCAGCCCATCCAGGTCGTGCACCCGACAAGCGTCTGTGCATTGAAAGTATGAATCGTTCGTAGTATAGCGCAGCCTGTTTCTCCGTTGAGCCTGGGGTTCTTCCAGCTTCTCAGAGCGTCCCAACCGGCGATAGAGAAGTGGTTTCCTCAGGCTCAGGGAATGACGCCCGTACCTGTTACTGTTTTTGACATATGAGGTAATCAAGGGTAGCGCGCAAGGTGCTAACGTGGTTCTTTTCAATTACCTGTTGAGACCGTTTAACACCACTCACTTGAACCTGGACTAGTTATCCTCCATTTTGAGGGGCATCGTTGTTTCATGGTGCTTTGTTAAGAAACTTCCTATATCGTTGCACACAGTGCGACTGTACTCTCAAAATCCCTAAGATGTGGTGGGCGTGGCTGCGTACTTCAACAAACTTGGTGTTAGACTGATGTTGTTTTGAGGGACACCGTTGTTTCAAGGTGCTGTTTTTTCAGAGATGTTTCCATTTTACATAGCTGTGGTCGTGTCTCTGTTCAGCATCGAACAAGATGACAGTTGTCTCAAACTGAAATATCCCACGAGTAACCTATTCTACGCCATTGTCGACTGCCACGCCCACTCCGTCACAGGGATAAGGAGTGCTCCTATGAACTAGATGCCATTCGCCAACCGACTCGAAGCATATCCGGTTTTATTAGTCCACAGCTATGGAGCTGGCACTACTCCAGAGCTGACCACTATACCAGAGCTGACCAGCCACTCTTTACGAAACCCAGAGGTTAGTTCTTTCACCTACACCAGATTCTTTTTCCCAGTGAGCGAAACACGCGGCACGAACTTTTGCCCAACATTAAAAAATGAGGAAGAATCGTTGAAAAGCCCATCTCACGGCTCAAGGCATAATTTGCTTCTCGTTGAAGTTCCACGAGAGGTAACGCGACGTTGCCTCATATTTATTTATCTATTTGTGGACGCGGTATATCTGCGTTTCATGATATGACAATGACAATCGACAAGTACAAATACAAGTATAATTGAAGCCAGACAATTCCCGTAAATGTAAGAATTTAGGATACCTCTGATGTACATAACTACCCTGGTGGCCTTTATGCGAAAAGCTCCAGGTGAAAATTGGAGAAATCTTCACAAAAAATTTTGTTAAGTAAGTGTAGGACTCTGATCGTGAAGAATTTAGACCTGACTTGGGTTCTTTATACAGGAGCCCTGATCTTGATAGTGCTTCTAGTCCTAGAGTGAGACTAAAGTAAAGAAAAAATCCATCGTGGCTCTACATCCTCATCATTGCGAGCGGTTGGGCGGAGTGAGCCGCGCGCGTGTGACTCGGCGCTGTTGATGCAGTCGCCGTCACAGAGAATCCTAAAAACAATCATGAGATCATTGATCGATCTCCTATCAAGGAGACTAGGTAGGCCGTAAAGACGCCGTCTTTCTACTAGAGAATCATAGCTCATTCCGAAACATCGCTGAGCAAGTTCACGAGTAAAGCTGTTCTGCACACTTTCCAAGAGATTAATATCCTGACATGTATCATACCGTATTTCTGACATTGGACAAGGCTCTTTAGTTTTTTCCTGGCAGGGCACGCCATTGCGTTATGATCATTTTCTGAAATTACGATCCCCCCCACGCCCCTCTGTCCTTCCTCCTCGAACCGAGCCGTCGAGCGTGGGGGGGGGGGAGGGGGAGGAGGTCGTCAGAATTAAATTATCATTTTCAAGTGTCGGGAATAGTAGTGCGTCCATGAACTAACCAAATACAACCCCTCCCCACTCCCCAAAAAATGACCAAGTACGACCCCTCCCCCCTTAGAGCGTAAGGAAATAAGAAAAATAAAAAAATTTTCTCTAGTCAAATACGACCACCCTCTCCCTCGCGGTCAAATACGACCCCCCCCCTTGTGATGATCACAACGATGGCGCACCTTGTTTGGCCGCGTTCATAGCTTGCGTTCGTGAAGAAATGCAGAAATGCGGAAAATGCAGAAGTGCGGAAAGTGCAGAAGTGAGGAATCTGCAGAAAAGCAATAGATACGTATCGACTTGAAGAAATGCAGAAATGGCGAAACTGCAGACGTGCGGAATCTGCAGAAATGCCGAAAGTGAAGAAGTGCGGAATCTGCAGATATGCCGAAAGTGCGGAATGTGAAAAGCAACCGATACGTATCGATTTTCCACACTTTCGGCATTTCTGCATTTCTTCAAATCGATACGTATGTAATGTTTTTCGTCATTTCTGCACTTTCCGCACGTCTGCAGTTCCCGCACTTCTGCATTTCTTCACGAACGCGAGCTATGAACGCGACCTTTCCTGGACGATGTTTCCGAGACGGCGGATACAACATGGCGTGCGTGATGTGCACACCACACCTCACAATCGACGGCGAATCTTGTTTTTGAATCGGTTTCAGCTATACAAGTGCGGGTTTAGGATAAACAAATTTATTTTCCGCATCTGGTTTTTGATTTTTTTTCCGATTTTTGATACTGA